GAAGAGGAGTCAGAGTCAGACCATTGCAGTGACGCCCAGACCTTACAACCAAAAGGTCGACCCTTTGGGCCGAATAGTCGCCAACACTTCCAATGAGATCGACGACGACTGCGGACGTGAGGAGTACTGCGAGAAGATGGTTGAGTGCTGTGTTAAGGCGTGCGGTACTCGAGATCAGCTGATGAACGCCTCGTTCTTCATTGTGGCCACGAATGTCATGTGTAGGACCGATAAGATGGAGTTCCCGCCCCTCGAGATCGGGATCTGTCAGTACTCTATCGCTTCGGGCATTAAATTCAGTTATCATGAGTTCATTGACGCCGGAAAAGTGCCCTTAGGTTTCATACTTACCATTAGTTTTACCGTTTGTTCACTTGTTTTATGAATGATTTTGTTTGTCATCCGAAGGATACATGCATTCCGCCAAAGACTGGGCGGAAACGAGTCATAAGATCCCTTTGAGTGACTTCTATCCGGCGACCAATAACTACGAGAAGTTAGTTGAAGACATGAAACAAATCCTCGAAGAGTCGAGATTTACGAACCAAATGACGGGAAAACCGACGCCAATGTTGGTCTTCTGTCGCGAAGACGCCATCGAACAGAACAGAGGAGTCTTTCAGTGGTTGCAACACAAGTACAATGAGATCAACAAAACCAGCTTTGAATGGGATCTTGAAGTTCTCGATTTAGTGCTACTCTTGTACTACATCTCTAAGTCTGGCGGACACACCATATCTATGGCCGCCGGAGAGGGTATGTCCTGATGTGTGTCCTATAGCTTACAGCAATTCATATGTTATTTGACTCTTCACTTCAGATGTATTGTCGTCCTCTGCGTACGACTACTCGAAGAACACTTTGTGTGACTATCACGAAGAGATAGACAACAGACACTGCGCGCAAGGGTTGGCCCGACGTCTATGCTATATGTTGACGGATGGGTTGTGTCCCATGTTTGGCATCACTCCCACTGACAAGCATTTGCCGTCCAAACGGGATGTGATCGCTGAGACATATAAGGCTCAGCTTCTGGAAGTGAAACCATTGCCGGCCTATAGATATCATCAAAATGTGGCCACAGATGACAGTCAGTGGGATCCCAATCAAGTCGAGAAGGAGATTGATGAGGAGGGGGCGGCCGGCGGTGCCAGACCTAAGACAGGCATTGGTCGCGGACGGGCTCACGCTTTCAAACCCCC